GTCATTACAGACTAATTTTAGTAATCCCATCCAAAATTTGGAAGTAACTTTAAAAGTATGTGGCTATTATTATGATATTCATTACATCAAAAGAAGTCATTATAATGAAATTTTTATTCTTGATATTGTCCTGAAGCTATTTTCGTGTGGCATCGTAAAGCAATTACTATTATAGAATATAATAATATATAATATAATAAGATACAGTTAAACTTTAAAATAAATTTATTGGCGTTTCAATTTCCTCTTCGGAAATTGTTCACATTTTTTCATTTGAAATAAATTTGACGCTTTTTGTGATGTCCGTTGTTCCTGTATAAAATTCTTCTTCCTCGTTCTCTTCTTTGTCTGATCTGGGTGCATTACTTCTATTATGTGGAGTATAATGTTTTTACATATAAGTTGTAGTAGCTATATCCTTTCGGATTTAATTTGCATAAAATTTTATAAAACAGAGCATACAACATCCGAGGATGAAATTGACGTTGTGCCAGCAAGAACAATATTTTAAAGATACAACGCTTTCAGAACAAAGTATTATTATTATTAGCTGAGTTAATAAGAAAACTGAAGAGAGTGAAGACCTTCGAGTTGGTGTAGTGATTAGTTCAAAAGCAGAGTATAGTCGGTTTAGTGTACATGAGTGCTTGTGAAAGTAATTACTGTAAGTAAGAAATACCCTGTAAAAACATTATTGAATGTAACTATAGTTTTAAGCATTTATTGCTATTAATTTAGGATGGAACAGAACTGCTCATTAATCTTTCTGACTAGATTGCAGTGTAAAAGATGCATCTTTTACTAGGGGTGTTTTATTAATAAAAAAAATTCGCACAAATTGAATAATGCATGTGTAAAAAGGGAACATAAAAATATTATTATACCTTAGCCATTAAATTTGCATGGTCTGATTCCTCTTCTGTATCCAAGCTGTCAATAATACTCTCCCTGCTAGCAATAACTTTCTGAAACAAAATTATCTTTACTTAAAAAAAAAACAGAAAAATATTATTTTTAGACTAAGCTCAATTCACAGTCAAGATGCAGTAGAAATAAACAAACTAAGACACATTAAATGTTACAAGGAGCACTCTGAAATAATTATTTACAATGTATATACATTGTATAATTCCCAAATCATGATTTACAAAGTTTATACATTGTCAATCAAGATTTGGTAGTGTTCCTCGTAACATTTAAGTGTCTTGGTTTGTTTAATTCTACTGCATCTTGATTGTGAATTGAGTTTAGTGGTGTCTAGATTAGTACGAAATAAAATGTATTCTCTGATCTGCAGAATTTTTTCATCATAATTTCACTTTTCATGTTTACAATCATTAGGTACTTCTATTACAATTAAAATAGTAATAAATTTTACTAAAAATAAAAATCGCTGTGTAGTAGTGGCTGATCATCAAAAACTTATTTTGCTGGTAAAGATAATGGTTTTATTTACAGTAATTCACAAATAATTAATCAAAGCTGATGCAAATCTATAAAAAAATACTTAGTAATAGTAGGGACAAGTAGGTACTGTTACTGTAGTGCACTGCCGCCTTGTCTATGCATACACAGCCAAGAGCATCAATTTTGCGCAAGTTGTATCCAATTATGTTCCTTTTCCTAACAAAGGAACACTAACCATTGCTTCAGCAGTCTTTTACCCCATATGTTAGTTACCATTGATTCATGTTACATGGCTTGGAAATCCCCATATTGCATTTAGGCTGTGATATCATACTTAATTTTTTGCAAAGATCATTTCATATATTTCATTGCTGTTGTTTCGAGAAATTCCTTTGCAGTGTCCTTGTCTTATTCTAGTAGTTCTAGAGAATCACATTGCAGATTTTGATCATCATCTTCTGGTTTCAGTCAATGTAGGGGTAGAACCTTCTTCAAACAGATGTAGCAACTTTTGCCTCTTCTGACTCAATAGTTACACAAATAATATTACAATAAACAATTATTAATCATTATCAAAAGTAGTAACAGGAATAATAATTCATTTCTGACACCAATGTAATAAAAATGTATGTTATTTCAAAATAATATAAACAAATAAAAACCCATTCACTGTCAAAAGTAATAATGTGAATGGTAATATCTGTCTCTGATATAGAAATTTGATATACCTATCTTCATAAACTCAAAGAAGTACACATTCTTTCAAGGTATTTAAAATAATACTAATGCAACAAGGTACAGAGTGATTCAAGATATACATTTTAGGACGAATATTATTTGTAAATCTGAGAAGTTACATTTTACTATGCATTTTCCATATTACTTTAAAGATCATCACATATAAACTATGCTCTTTAATATCTATTGGGCTATCAAATTTTAAGGCTACCATCATCATCATCAATGGTACTAGATAGTTGAGTTTTGACCTTCCTAGTCTAGATATAATAGGGTACATCTGGGAGAATAGGTGCATTCATTAGCTTGTAGTGGCCATAGCTCAATGGCCAATATACTGGCATTCTAAGGCAGAGCACACTAATTCGATTCTCAACATCAACAACAATTTCATTGCTAAAAAATGATACAAGCTGTTAGTGTGCTTCAGAGGGTATGTAATGTTGTCAGTCCCCCTGGTATAGTGTGCACTGACACTAGTTACCTGAAACAGGGTTAAAGATGCAATTGGTTCCAGAACAATCTGAAATCTTTTTTCCTGGATCTCCCAGACAAAAATGCCATCTGATTTTAATATTATTATAATTCATTAGCCTATCCTTTTTATGCAAGACTTATTACATTCCTACAGTTTGCCATGTTTATCTTAAAATTTAACTGGATGGATCTTTCAGAGGTATGAATTGTAACCCCTTCAGTTCTTCTATGTTTTCCTTTTCGTATAACAGCTAATAAATCAAATTAGTGAGGTAGATTGATAGATGAACATGTTTTAAAGGTACATATAATAACTTATCAAAAAAACCATTAAAAGTATAAACTCAAAGCAGAGTGAACAGTATCCTCCAATAGGCCTAGCAATGTCAATATATTACTTATCCTCGAATGTAGTCAGATAGCCAAGAGAGCTGGGAGGCCAGTTTCTCATTCGCTTCACTGCGAGTGGTTCAGAGGAAGTGAGTTCGATCCCCAGCTCAGTGTACAGAAAATAAAAAGGCTAACACAGCAGTTTAAAATTCTAAATGAATCTGCGGCTTAGACTAGAATATGCTGGTGTCTGATCGGCCTATGGTGGAGCAGTACAGCAAGAGATAAGGGCTTGCGGCTCAGTGATACTCCTATATATGTAGTCAACTTTGCAATCTTAGTTTTCTGTCTCATTGGATGGGTACACCCAAATGGCTTGAGGACAACAAATGGACTTAAAATTGTTAGCATAGTCTCACAGTATTGTTTGTATAGAAGCAGAAGTGGGGATGAAATTCAAAAATATCAGGGATATAGATATAAAACAAGTCTGCACCAAACTTTATAGTAGTTTATTTTCAACTAACCCTTTAGTAGTACTGAAACTGTCTTCTGAATACTCTCTGTAAGATATTTGTGAGCTCTGCTGGTTCACTCATAAATTAAACTAAAACTTAGGCTCTACACGAGTGGGGATATAAGACTATATAGATCCTATTATTAATTTAACAAAAGTGTATTGTTCAAAGGTATCTGATTATACTAGTAGTGTGTAGTTATGTACTACTTAAGTATTTATGAATCCATAATTGGAAATCATATACAAAGACTCATTTAATATCTAGGAAGGTCAACACTACAATTTCAACTGACATGTATTAAAGAATTCATATCTTGGCTAAGATAAATTGTTCCAGTTTAGTTTTTAGAGCTAATTATGAGGCAGATAAATCTTAAAGAGGACCTTATATATTTTGAGTTTTTTTAGGTAATATTCATTAGATAAGGTAAAGTCCATAGAATCAAAACAGCTAAAAGATTTATAGAATTCAGAAAAGTTCTTTTCTGAATTACCCTGTTGAATATTCTGAATTAATTTATTTTTCAGCTAATTCAGTTATTTGTTTCTTGCTTTGGTTCCTCAATACAAGTGGAGCAAGAGGATATATTTACATCTTTTCTAAATTTAGGTAGTACCTAATTAAACCAATTTTTATACTTTGAACATTAATTAAAATTACCAGTGTAAACATGTCTTGGTAAATTTTTTTCATTTAATAATTTAATATTTGATTTGATCGTCATTATCACGAGTTTTTCAATGAATAATTTTCCTAATAAACCTGAAATAATCAGGTTTATCTACACTAACCTGAATAAATGGATTATCTTGTCTTGATGCCCTCAAATTTTCCATGTCTTGGTCAATATTTCTTATACGTCCTGGAGTAAGCGTAACTGTAGAAACAGCAGGAGAAGGAGGACAAGTTACTGGTAAGTTTAAATAATAATCTACCGCAGAAACGCTTAAAGTTGAATGAGCGCGGCCCACAATGTTGTTATTACGAGAACCTGAAATGTCAATATTTACATTACCTACATACTGATAATTCTATTATTCACCTTTACAACTCTTATGTCGGTTCATGTTGCTTTTGAAGTTTGATAAAAGTGATCATCACGGTTATAAAGAGCGTTTTGTCAGAATTTACAACATTTTTACAAATTAGTATTATGATTTATAATACACAAATCAAATGTATTGACCAAATGTCATAACAAATAACGTCAAATCACTTTGATTTTCATGTCATGTCATGTTCTCTTCTTTTTAATGGACTTTCCACGAAATTCTGGTATATAGTTCTAAAAAATTATTTCCAGGTAGGCAATATCTTACTATGTGCGATATTTATGTAAATACATTTTAAGTGCATGTGCGCCAATATTTTTCAATTAATTTAGATACTTTCGTTTAAATAATATTTTTCATATCATAAAAAATAAATTCTGACATCTGAAAATATCGATGTACATAGGGTTGAAATTTATCGAAATCACAAGAATCGAATAGTGACACAAGTGACGTCTAAATCTGTCAATTACATGACGTTTAATACCATAGATTGCCACAGAGTTTGTGTTGTGTTTAATATTTATTAATGTTGTGCTTTGTAGGCAAATAAATGCAAAACTATAAATATGTACACTTTTATAATTAATATAATTAACAATTGATATGTTGAACATGTCTTTTCAGCAGCAAGGTGTCACTGGCGATATATTGCATTTAAATGTTGGAGGTAAAAGATTTTCAACATCTAGGCAAACTTTGTCCTTAATCCCTGATACTTTTTTTACTGCTTTACTAAGTGGACGAATATCTAGCTTAAGGGATGAAAAGGGAGCCATATTTATTGATAGAGACCCTAAGTTTTTTTCAGTAATCCTGAATTATTTACGTACGAGAGAGGTAGACTTAAAAGATGTAGATGTTAGAGCTCTTAGACACGAAGCTGAATATTACAATATTGCCCCCTTAATTAAAAGACTTTTACTATGTGAGGAGCTTACACAACCAACATGTGGAGATGTGCTGTTTTATGGTGCTTTACCACCTCCTTGTATTCCTGTTCAAGATCCAGGTCAGCTGTACCAGTCAACTGAACCGATTGCAACACACAATTCAAGAGCTGGCCCAAGCAGAGGTACAGATGGGCATTCAGATGGAGAAAATGGTAATTATTTAGATACTCCTTTATTAGTAATTTATACTTCATAAAATTGACATAATAATTTTATTATTTGATCTTTTTACAACACCAAACATATGGAATAACCATTTAAGAAATGCTTATAAACTTTTGACCATCTGTATAATTAAAGGATTAGAGTTCAATTTTATTCACCAAATTGCACAATTGAATATAGTATTGTACAAGTTTAAGACAATATTTAAAATCAAGTTTTTCATTATTATCATAGCAAACTCTTATAGATATATTTGTTAATATATTTCCAATATGTATTACTTGGGTAGTTTTAATTATATAGTAACCCTTTCTCCTAAATATTCCAGTTGACCAGATAGCACCCCACACATACTTCTTAAATTCTGTGCATGTTCTCTTAGATAGCAAATGCTATCTTAGGTATGTTCCTTTTTTTCTAGTGTAGTACTTTCAAGTGTAGTTGAGTGTGGGCTAACTGGCCAATGTCAAACGAAAATCATAGCTGTAGCACTAATCCTGTTCAATTCAGGTTATTTTACTACTTGTTTATTTTTAGTGTTTTTTTTTGTTTTCTTCTACTTTCGGTTTTCGTTGTTTAATTAAAATAAACTTTATTATAATTAGCTGGCTATCCTTTTTTTAAAAATTTATAATAATTTTATTTATCTTCCAATTCTCTTTAAAACCTTGTTTTTCCACCTTTTTGGAAGGATAGTTACTAGCTCCTCTTGATTAATTTATGAGACTGAATAAATATTTGTATTTACAAAGCTCCCTAAAAGATCATTACCAATCTGTTAAATTTAATAGTGTAACATCAAATAATTTTCATCTAACCTCTGATGTTCCACAAGGGCCCCACAGTCTTAATTACAATTATTATTTATACTAAATTATATATGTAGATTGTAGAATACTTTGTGTTGTTGTCTATGTTGCAGTATTGTTTCAGAATGGTTAAAGTAGTTAACCCAGGGTATATTCGTTTTCTATAGATAGAAACCAATTTTTTCTTGTATAGAACTTTGAATGGAAAAAATTGGTTGATTGCTATGGGCTTCTTGAAATCATGGTACATGGCAGAGAAGGTGGATTGTTGGAAGAAAGAGAAAGTGATTTAGTGTGTTTGAGAAGGGTTCTTAATGTTGAAAGTAGCTGGGCCCCATCACTTCTTTTATTATCTGTCAGTTTTTTTTTTCAATTTCACTCTTGTCTGTGTGCCACAGCTATCCTGAATACTTCTGTGACATTGCTATATGACCTAATTTACTTGATAGAGCTCCTTGGTTTTTTTGCCACTCTGCAGTCTTTTGTTGGAGGGTGGGTATTGTTTTTCTCCTGAGGTCCCTTTTTACTCTTAAGTTTTGCCTTATTGGTAATAACTAATATGTGGATTTATCCTAATGCATGTCCCAACTGTCATTTTTGTCCAACATAGAGAACTGATAAGGACATCTGAACATCAGGAAGAAGCAGCAGAACTATTCTGACTTGACAATGGCAAGTGTTAGCTTTATCAAAGACATTATCTTCTTCTTCTTCTTCCAATGGCGCTACAGCCCAAATTGAGCCTTGGCCTCCTGTAACTTCTGCCTCCAACAAAGGCGATCCCGCGCCACTCGTCTCCAAGCCTTGACGTTCAATAAGTTGTGCGCATCTGCTGTGACTTTGTTCTCCCATCTATTACGTGGTCTTCCCTTTGGTCTTCTGCCCTGCATTTTACCATCCAAGGCCTTTCTCGGCAATCTGTCGGCATCCATCCGTACCACATGACCAGCCCATCGAAGCCTTTGTACTCTAGCGAACTCTGCAATAGGTGCTTCTTTGAACAGTTGGTAGAGTTCATGGTTATATCTAGATCTCCACATCCCATTTTGAGTGATGGGTCTGTAGTCTTATTTGAATTTCGCGCCATTGACAGATCTGATTGTCACTCAATTTGAAAAAAAAGAAGATAACCACACTTTATGTTTAGACTTAACACTTGTGATTATGAATTATGGCCATCTGAATGTTATGAAAACTATTATGTCGAATTATGTACAATTAGTGTTTCTTTTTCCGCTAAATAAACTTAAGAAAACTAGAACAATATTATTTATTAACGGAGCCTACAGGTCCAAAGATCTTCCTTAGGATTTTTCTCTCGAAAACCTCTAATCTTCGTTTAGTGCTTTCTGTCAAAACCCATGTCTCGCATCCATAGCATACTATCGGTCTGATGATAGTTTTATAGACCTTAAGTTTCGATTTTCGATGTACCGTCTTGGAGCGGAATATGTTAATCAGGGAAAAATAGGCTTTATTTCCCTTCATTATTCTCTTCTGAATTTCGGCCTCTTCTGTTCCCTCCGTATTCATTTCGACTCCCAGATAAGTAAAACTCTTCACTGTTTCAATGTCATCCTCTACTTTGATTTGATTTCTTGTTCGCTTTGTCCGCGTCTGTGTTAGTATTTTTGTCTTCTGTGTATTTATTTCAAGTCCAATCTCCTTGGCCGTTTTTTTCAGCTGCGAATATGTTTCTGCTGCATCATCCACTCTGCGGGACATGAGGTTAATGTCATCCGCATATGCGGCGAGCTGGACAGATTTGTTTGTTAGGAGATTGGCTCTTCCGACATTCAGCTTTCTGATGACATATTCAAGGGCCAGATTGAACAGTGTTGGAGCTAGTCCATCACCTTGTTTCAGCCCTTGAACTATTTCGAAGCTGTCAGTTAATTTGTACTGTATGCGTACAGTTGCTATTGTGGAGTCCATCGTTGCTTTTACTAGTCGGATATATTTCGAGGGAATATTGAAGCTTTCCATGATGTTATATAACCGGCTTCTATTTATGGAGTCATAAGCCTGTTTGAAGTCGACAAATATATTGTGAACATCAATATCGTGTTCCCAAGCTTTATTAAGGATTTGCTTTACTGTAAAAAGCTGATCTATTGTCGACCTGCCTTGTCGAAAACCGGTCTGGTATTCGCCGATAATATTTTCACATAATGGTTGAAGTCGCCTATTCAGGATGGATGTAAAAATTTTGTAGGCCGAACATAGGAGGGTTATGCCGCGGTAATTTTCGCATTTAAGTTTGTCCCCTTTTTTGTAGATTGGGCAGATAATCCCATTTTTCCAATCGCTAGGAATTTTTTCTTCCCTCCATACCTTAGATATGAGCGCGTGCACCTGCGTTGTTAGATGTTCGCCACCTAATTTATACAGTTCGGAAGGGACATCGTCAAATCCCGGCGCTTTGTTGTTTCTTTGCGCCTGTATTGCTTGTTTGACTTCTTTAAGAGTCGGGCTGCTTATTTCTTCGTCTCCTTCCTCGATGTGCCGCAAATCCGAAGCTCGTGAGCTTCCTTGTGCTCATAGCAGAGCTTATAAATGGCTTTTCCAAACTGATTTTATTTGCGTTGGTTCACTAATTATCTTATCTGTTTGGTTTCTGCACAGACTTGTTCGGGGTTTGTATCCTTCTCTTAGTTGTCGAAGATATTTATATGCCTCCCTTAGATCGTTGCTTTGGAGGTTTTGTTCCATTTTCTGTATCTTATTATTTTCCCATTTTCTTTTTTCTCCTCGACATATTTTATCCGCCCTGCGTCGTAGCTCCTCGAAAAATGTTCTTCTTTCTCTGGTTCGCCTTTCCATATATTTCTTGTGAGCTTCATTTCGTTCGTGTATGGCCCGTCTACACTCTTCGTTGAACCATTCTGCCCTTTGCTTCTTTACCTTTTTACCGATGGTCTTTGTTGCTGCATTTAATACTTTTGTCTTCATTTGTTTCCAATGTTCTTCAATGTCTAGGTTATCTGTGTTTGTAAGTGTCTGGGTTATTTCTGTCTCGTAGCTCAGTTTAACGTTTTGTTGGCTTAGTTTATCAATGTCCAACTGCTCTTTTATCTGTTCTTTCTTATCTCTGTTTCTTGAGATCCTGCATCTATATTTTGCTTGTACCAGCAAGTGATCAGATCCACAGCATGCTCGTCTTCGACTTTTTACATCTAGGATGTTGGTGGCAGCTCTTTTGTCTATTAAGACATGGTCAATTTGGTTAGTAACCGCTCCACCTGGCATGATCCACGTTGCTTTGTGTACATCCCGATGAGCAAAGAACGTAGAGCTCACGATCATGTTTTTCCTGCTGGCAAAATTAATTAGGAATTCCCCGTTCTCGTTGGTGTTTTGATGGAGTGAGTGTTTGCCGATTATTCCTGCGAACTGTTCTTCTTTGCCTATTTGGGCGTTCATGTCACCCAATATTATCTTGATGTCATTTTTTGGGGCATTGTCGTATATTTCTTCTAATTGATCGTAGAACTCCTCTTTTATTGTTATGTCGTGTTCTTCTGTTGGACTATGGGCATTAATGATTGTGAGGTTAAAAAATTTTGTTTTTAGCCTCAATCTACATAATCTCTCATTTATTGCTTCGAAATCTAAGATATTGTTTTTGATGTTCTTATCTACTACGAAAGCCACTCCAAATTCTTTCTTTCCATTTTCTTTGCCGCTATAGAGTATTGTGTGCGTTTTTGTGTCTTTTATTTCCATTGACATTGTCAAAGACATTATAAGGTTTAAAAAAGAAACAGTTGACTTACCAAACCTTTTGAAAACCTTTCAAAGTATTTGAAGAACATTATTTCCAAGATAAATAAAAATCCATACCATTTAAAAGACGCTGATCACCTGAAATCAAAACTCAAAAATATACATTTACCTCTAAATTATAAATTAGTTTCTCTTGATGTGGTATCTTTATACACCAATATTCCAATAGCTTTAGCAAAAGACATTATTAAAAAAAGTGAAATCAAAGTGTTAACAGACATCCCTCTAGAAGAATTGCTACTAGGAGTCGAAACAACATTAAAGTCAACCTATTTCCTATATAAAAACAAAATCTTCCAACAAACAGATGGATGTGCTATATGTGCTAGCATATCCAGTGCCATTGCTCAATTATTTTTAGAGCATCTAGAGGAAATTGTTTTAAATAAAAT